GACCTTCTGGGGAGCAGCTCTGCGGAGAAAGACCTGGGTGTCATGGTGGATGATAAGTTGACCATGAGGCAGCAGTGTGCCCTCGTGGCCAAGAAGGCCAATGGGATCCTGGGCTGCATTAAGAAGAGCATCTCCAGCAGGTCGAGGGAGGTGATCCTGCCCCTCTACTCAGCCCTGGTGAGGCCGCATCTGGAGTATTGTGTCCAGTTCTGGGCCTCACAGTACAAGAGGGATGTGGAGCTTCTGGAGAGAGTCCAGCGCAGGGCTATGAGGATGATCAGGGGTCTGGAACATCTGCCCTACGAGGAGAGGCTGAGGGAGCTGGGCCTGTTCAGCCTGGAGAAGAGAAGGCTGAGAGGGGATCTAATCAGTGTATATAAATACCTCAAGGGAGGCAGTGAGGAGGATGGTGCTGGCCCAGGCTGCCCAAAGAGGTTGTAGAGTCTCCTTCTCTGGAGATCTTCCAAACCCACCAGGATGCCACCCTGTGCCACGTGCTCTAGGTGACCCTACGTGTGCAGGGGGGTTGGACTAGATGACCTCTAGAGGTTCCTTCCAACCCTAAGCATTCTATGATTCTATGATTCTAAATGGCCAGACTAGTTTAAGCAACAGCCACCTGCCTTGGGCTCCCAGTTGCATGTGAAACCGCAAGGGGAAACAGATTTATTACTTAAGTTTTGTAATGGCAGCTTTTTTATTTTATTTTTTTTCTGATAGTGCAGGTGTAGTTGTGAGCTCAGGAACAAATAATCCTCCAAGTGTTCCTCATTGTCATGGCAAATCACTTTTTTTTTTTTTTAAACACATGGAGGCCTTTATTAATGAGTGAGGCTGGACTAAAAGATTTATGCACTTTCAATATTAATTAAACCAATTATCAACTGAACTTATATAAGGAGATAAGCTTGGATATACTTGCACATGTTTCAGCATTTCTATTTCAAAACTAGCGTTAAACAACATGGTACAATCCTGGTTAACTTTCCTAATACCTGTAGGCTTTCCTCAGCTCCTTCTTCATCAGATTGAAATGGGTTGAGGGAGGGAGTGTGCACTTTGATTGCTGATCAACACACATAACTGTACTTGATCACGATATGTATGTATATAATTGGGGACTTTCTTGCTGAAAAAAAAAAATTGTTGTGATATTTCTTTAATAAATTTTACACCAAAAGCAAAGCCACAGTACAATAGAAATAGCTTTACAAGTAATTTCAAAAATATAGAGCACTGACAAACCAGAAGACCATGCCAAAGTTTAAGCTGCAAAAGCTGAGCGGTGCTGGAGGGAGCTTAGTGCCGTGGAGAGCGCCGTGGTGAATGTGCCCCGCGGACCTGGCTCTGGAGAGGTGCTGTGGGTGCCCGCACGCGGCAGCGCAGGACTTGGCAACCTTCTGAAAGGGCCTGGAGAGAAGAGGGGTGGGAAATGAACATAGCAAGGGAGTAAGCACTTGGTGAAAATGGAAACAAAGGACACTGCTGTTTCAGGAGGCCTTTGGGTGATAATTCTCCAAAAGCAAATGGCAGTCGAAAGCTTCTCCCAGTTTGCTTGGGAGCTCTGCGTGGACTGCCCTCCTTGGGGCTGTGCTCCCTTGTCAGGATGGATAAAGAAACCCCTGGGCAGCAGCTGGTGGGAGCACAGATGCCAGTGAAAACCTTCATTGCTGGGGCTAACTACTAGCAAGCAGCAAGCTTCGCTCTGACCATAGCTAGTTTTTAAAATTAGTGAACCCCATTTTGATCTTTGACTAAAATGTATAGTAGCTATTCTTCCCTCATACTCTGAACTCAGTGCTTCCCTTCTCAAATCCTGGGCTTTGCACAGTAAAGAGGGAAAAAGATGCAGTTCGAGGCTATCTATCTCAAGAGTCAATACAGAAACCATAAATGCCTCCTTTTCAGCTGCAGGAAGGTTATTCTGGTGGCTGCTAAGTTCTTTTGTGAGTCTCCAACATTGTGCTGGAGAAGAGCGCTGGGCTCTTGGCAGATGGCTGCTGCTACATCCCCTAGGGATGTGTTTGGTGGCAACCCGGTCCCACATTGCCCCAAAAGCTGTCTTCACCGTATCAGTTGTATTAGCAGGCTGCTGAGTGAGACGTAACCCCCGCTTCGACTTTGGTGTTTGCAGTGGGTGTGATTGGGAGACCAAGAAAGCCATTTTGGGAGACCCTGAACGAGTCGTTTCCAG